CACAAAAATCACCAAGCATCCTAGTCACAGCTTCATATTCTAAGAAATATTTAGTACGTGTTTTATTTCAACGTTGCTTCGTCTTATAGAAAAGAGCCCATTATGTATGTTATGAAATAGCTACTGTGAATATTGCATTAGAATTTTTTTCAAGACGGTCGACAATAAATAACACCATAAAACGTAATCCAGCATATGCCACAATTTAAATTAATCAAAAAAAGATCTACAACTTAAGACCGGCTAGACTGTTAGGCTTCTATGATTTTTTTAAAAATATTTCTTTATAAAAACTAAACGACAAATTAGAGATTTTGCACTCACCTTAAGACTTCAACCGAGGCGGTTTGTGCTTTAAAAGGTTTGAAAATCAGCTTGTATATATGCTACAGAAACACAAATTAGCTACTGAGGCCTTGGTATGTAAGACAATCAAGGTACATGTATGTACACGCAATAGCACACCGTGTGTGGAATAAGTATCACCCGAAAGTACGGACTCCAATCCGGTTGAGTTTTCCTGACAGCTGAAAGGTAGAAAAGACAAAATCTAGGTGTTCGTATCAGCGTGCTGAGTTGTTGTGGACTGAATAAGATCTTGCATACGTCGCCCAATAAAATCCAGTATAATTATGAATATGTAACTATGCATAATTCGGATGAACCATTAATATTGGGGGTGTTATGTTTTAATATAAGGATGTTGAATACAAAAATGTTCTTTTGTAAACATATATCTTAGTATTTACATCTCATTTGTGAAAAAAAATGTACCTTACTTTATCGGTTTGCCCATTTCTTCTGGACAGAATGGGGGGGGGGCACGTATCAAGTCTGTTCCAAGCTGGAAGTTAAGGTCACAGTGCAGTATTTGTTTACATTTGATCGGCGCTTCCCAATGCTGAGTCGACGGCCACCATGCATCTTCTTGGATATATAGAAACTTGATACTTGATCTAGTGTGACATATCTAGACTAAGTCTATTCTAGTACACTTTATTGTATACTTAGTCATGTTTGAGTAACTTATATCACCGTATCACCCACACCATCTCAAGCAGCCAACAAAACTGAAAATTTTTGACGACGATTGAATAAATAGTACAGTCAACTCTGAACAAAAGGATTTTTTTTCTTAATGTGTAATGCCAAAAATGAGCGAGAGTTCATACCTTTGGAACTTTGTGCAATCTGAATAAAGGACGCAGACAAAAAATATTTCACGAAGGATTTAAAAGTGAATCAATTGAATTTAATTCATAGGTATTCAATATGATCGTTTCATTTATCCATCCTTAGCAATAGTACCTCTCAAATGCCATAATTTCAAAATCAGTAGTATTTTTTGTCAGTACATACTTGACTCTGGTGAAAATGAGTACCTAGCTTCGGTTAGGGACGTCCTCTCGGATGGGACGTAAAACCGGAGGTCCCATATTTGACGAGGATACGTTTGCGACTCCACCATTCGTATCGAAAACAGTAAAGGTCCTTCCAGGTGTGAGTGGTTCAAACCTTACAGTCTGGTCTCACAGCTTCTCTGAGCTGAACTTTTCGTCGTAAGTATCATCAGTTTAACTCCTCCTTTAAATGGTCCCACTGTTGACATCTTGCAAAGGTCATAGTTACATGTTACATGTATGTCAACCCTCTCACAAATGTAATAAATAATAATAAATAATCATTCACCATACATCACTATATTCACTATCATTTAACCTATCCAAAATTGTTACCAACGATTTATTATAGCCTATAATTGACGATAGATGTTTAACGAACAACATAACATTTTGAATATTTTTTTTGTTATGGTACGAAGATTGTATGACGTATGTTACTATGTCCTTACATTTAAAAATCGTCACCAGACTAGTCCTTTGTGTCCGTGTTGTCGTTGTTTTGTTGTGTTCCTGCCGGCGCTACGTTGATTTTTGGTACCACGTTAACTCCCGGTACATTACCGATAGGTTCATCGGACAAACTTTCCTCGAACGCCGAGCCTATATCCGACACAGCCGAGTAGGCAGAGGCTTGAGACGGGTTCCGTTCCTGTCTACACTTCACACACGGGCACAACGGAGTGTGGACGGACTTGGGACGGTTTTTTCTCGAGGTGTAGTCTGCGGGGATCAGCATGGCGGAAAACCGTCCACTTGGAACCGGCGTCGGGCTCTCGCAGTCCCAGTCCCACGAACTCCCCGCCGAAGACGACCGAGGGGACACTTCGGTACGAGCCGTCGCCATCCTCGACCACAGTTCGGGAGTCTTCGGGACGACCAGCCCGTTTTCCACGGGATGCTCTTCCAGTGGAGACCGGGGAGATCGTGACAGCGTGCGGTGATGGCTGTCCGGGTTTTTACGGCGTACCTCCAGCGGCAAGCGGCGCGCGGAATACTTCTGTTCCCCTAAACCTTTTAGTATTTTCGGGTCCATGTTCCTACACTGTCCCTCGATCAGGTTCCTCTCACCTTTGGTGAGATGCTGGCCTCTGGTTGAGAACGAGCTCCATGCCATCTTGTTCCCAGCCCATGTGTTGATGGCGAGCGCCTTGGTGGGAGGGGGGTCGACGGACGAGGTTTCCGGGAATTCGAACACTTCGATGATGTTCAACGGCAGCGCCTGACGTTTCTTCATGTTAAAGATCCTCTGCACCGTCTTGATGTATAACAGTACAAGTCTTAGTTAAAAACTTCAAATCCGTGGAAATTCACCCACAAAATCCTGTTCAGAATCGTTGTAACATCTCACGCGGGATTTGAACTCCTCATAGTGCCGTCTGTCGGATTTTCCTAAAGATCAAACCAGAAGGAACTCCTGGCTACAACGTAGCAAGCTTTCAACTTGGATTACCAACCACAAAACCGAGTTTTTAAAACTTAAAACAAGTTCCTGATTCTCGCAACGTTTAGCTAACTATTTACACAAGAAAAAATCACAGAGTAGCTCCTAGGGCTTTCTCGTCTGTCTTCTGTCTTAGAAACAAGATTGTGACAGAAACACAGTTGTGTTGATGAGCTGTGACAGAAATTTGCTCCTCCTAGCGACAGGTTATGAATAATAAATGCAAAAGTAACACGCCAAGAGGTGATAAATTCATAAAGTGTCATCAGCTATTTAGCAGGACCAAAGCAAATTATACTATTGTTATATGTCATACGTATTGTTATCTAATTTTGTTCTAAAATGATTTACCGTGGAGAATATGGTCAAGAGTATACTCATATATCGTATACGGTCATAAAGTATAGCGGTGGTCTAATTAATGAAAACAGCCATAATTGCTGTACTCGATATTAAAAAGAAATATGCGTGTTGATTTTTATTTAGCTATGGTCAGTTTTTATGTATATTTAACAAAAGTCTCATAAAAACTCGATAATATCAGAAAATGTGTCTTATCAGACCACCGCTATACTTTATGGCCGTATACGATATGTGGGTTGAGGGAAAAAATCCAGGCTAGCTAGAACCCTGGTTAGATATCTAAAAGATTCTTTTGCACAGGTTATACGTGCATATATACTTGATACGCATATCTGAGTGGTTAAAACAGAATACGTTTTGTTTGTTTGTTGTTCTGTTTCTTATGACCAGTTAACCAGCAGTAAGTACAGTGTAAGGTTTGAACCACTCACTTCGGGTTGTATAATTGTAATTGGATCTTTAACGTGCTCGAGATTGTGCTTCGTATTAAACATATGGACCTCCGGTTTTTTGTCCTTTCTGAAAGAGTGTCCCTAACCGAAGGTAGGTACTAGTTAAACCTGAATCAAGTGAGAAAGTAGATGTAAGGTGCCTTTTTTTAAGAGCGCAACATTTGAAGCTTGTTAGGGATTTGAACCCAGAACCTATAGATTTTGCCAAGAAACGCCTAATACGATTCTATTGGACGAACGCAATGCAGTAATGTATCACCCCTCTGTACGCAGTGAAGAATAAAAGCTGTCAGCCTCTATTCATGTAAATGTCAGGGGTGATCTGTTCCCTCTTCATTTTCATTAACCCCATTAAAACGTCAAATCAGAACGATCGATATTTCTGCACACGTATACACGAATGTCAATGGACAGAAAAACATTCGGTCTCGGAAGAAACCATTTTTTTTGTGCCTTCGCTGAGGCGCGTTTCCGGAGAGGGACCAGTACATGAGGGTCTGCATGCCCTTTTTCGTAAGCCGTAATCAGGCCTTTTTAGACTTCGTAATTCGTAGGCAGCCTTCCCAAAATCAACGTAATTCGTTATAGGACATTAGCTGCAAAGCGTTAAATTGTAATCAGCTCTGAGACTTTAACGTACTTCGTAATCGGCGGCGAAAATTTTGCGTAATTCGTAATCACAACTCCCACATGCAGACCCTCGTACATGAACGCCTGAGCTAGGTTCCCGGTAGATTTTTTGAGGCAGGAGTTTGATTAGGCCCACCACGAATATCGCGGCAAATTAACTCCCGGCGCATGCCAAACTATTAGTGTAACACTCCTACCGCAGCCTGTTGTACTGGGCGGGGGGGGAGGTAGAGCTACTATGCCCCTACCACAAAGTTAATACGGTACACACGAACGCCTCTGAAAACATGGCAAAGGTAAAAGGTCAAAGTTGGCATGGTGCCACCTTTGTAGATAGTATAATGTCCTTGGTACTACCAAGGACTTCTACAATAGAACGCCCTCGTTACGCTGCACTGAGATGACATTCAGTAAACACATTGTCTCACGCGACCCCGCGACCCAGCTAGTGGTTCTACCGGTATAGAAAATAAATCAAACATGGCGATACCTCTGGCGCTATGGCGGTCCGTACAGCGACCGTTGTCCTGCCAACGTCCACGTTTTATCTCATTTCTACCAGGGCAATGTCTAAAGGTAGCTTCAGACGGACCAAAGTCGAGAATATCGCGTCTGGGTACAGCTACACCCCAACTACAGCAGGCTAGCAAGCTTCCTCAAGCCGTGTACCCTCTACAACTTGCACAAGGAGTGTCTACCAGGAGATTTTCTGGTTTAACAGAGAGCAGAAAGTCCGAGGAAGGTGTGAGTATGGAGAGAGTCAGTCTGAACGGAGCTGGTAGGGTGGTGGAAGTGGAGTGGTCTGACGGTGGGGTGAGCAGGTTTCCCTATGTCTGGCTGAGGGATAATTGTCAGGTAAGCCAATATATATCTTTTTTGTATATCCTTATAGCATATCTGTGTGTGTATGTGTTTCTACTGCTGTATCTGTATATTTTAATCGTTCTGGTTGTCTTACGGTCGCAAACATGAGGGGGGGAGGCGTTCTTGGCACAATTGAACATGTGTCATACATAGGTCAGCCGTCATGGTCGGAAGAAAAATGTCCGAAATTCTTGTCTGCAGATGGTTCTGAGGCAGCCTACTATACGATTCTATGACATGCGACGTCCTATATACGACAAAGGCCGTACACGTACGTACGCGTACAGTCTGTTTCTTTTATTCTTCTGAAAAAAAAGTATTTCGCGATGTTTAAATGGGTTAACGTTCTAATCGTATTGTGGTCCGAAATCCAGGTGACCTAGTTAGGGTAATAGACACTGTGTCAACACCTGCTATTGGCTTATTTCAGCACATTGACCCCAATACGAACTCACTGGCTTTCACGAATTGTGAAGTTTTTTTTTTTTATTTAGCAGCAAAATTGCTTTTGAAAGTAATTGTAGCCGTACATAAATATTATTCTCTCCATTCTCAGACCAGGATAAACCTAGAACTACTCTGTAAGATTATCGATTTCTTGTTGCTAATTATATTATCTCTGATGTTTATTACATTACCTTGGCAATATTCAGCTATGTGTGATTTTACATAGCCTGCATTACAAGATCGGAGTAAATGTAAAATGTTATATAATACAAATGTTCACAACGTATGAAAACAATTAAAACTGAGTTACTTTTTAATATCTTTATATGATATAGATCGCTGAAAATGTGATTCAAGAAGTATGCGGCAATGGCTTACCGATTTATGGTTATTGTTATTTATTTTTTATCATTAAAGTTCATCTGTATTGGTAGTAATCATAGTAAAACGTTTAACTTTATTCCAACACACAGTTTACAAAGAGATCAAATTTTCAGTAACCACTGTCGCCTTCATCAGGCGAGATCTGTAACTCTCGCGAGATCACGTTGTGAAGTGATTGGTCATTAATTATCCTGATGAAAGCGACAGTGGTCGCTGAAAATTTGATTTCTCTGTAAACTGCGTGTTGGAATAAAGTTCAAAGTTTTACTGTTATCTATTTTTTTGATTATCATGAAAGTTCATCTGTGTTGGTAGTAATCATAGTAAAACGTTAAACTTTATTCCAACACACTATTTACAGGGATCAAATTTTCAGCGACCACTCCCTGGCACTTTTGATCAATTGCTTACGTCACGTATCAGTAAAGTCTCGTGTGAATAAGGTCACGTGTTTGTAAACCGTAACTCTCGCGAAATCACGTTTTGAAGTGATTGGTCATTACGCTGAAAATTTGATCCCTGTAAATAGTGTGTTGGAATAAAGTTCAAAGTTTTACTGTTATTTATTTTTTGTTTGTTTCTTGATTTTGTTTATCCCCAGTGCCAGCAGTGCTTTAACCCAGATTCTCGCGCAAGACTTGTCCTGATGGCAGACTTGGACGTCAGACTTTCCCCTGTCAGGGCTGAAGTTCAGGGTAAATATGGGCACTAGAATTTTTGATGATTAATTATACATTTGTTAATAGTTTCTCAAAGCTGCATTATGTAACATTAGGACGATACATAAAGCGTTTTTTTTTTCACTACAAAGTAAATTAAGCCTACTCCATTGCAAATAGGTACCAATCAGGAAGAATAGGTGCCAAAATATGACGAGTTACGAGGGATTTAAAAGTTTGAAACATAGCCGGTATTTTGTGGTGACACCACAAACTGTGTGCGCCTCGCGATCGCGTGGGCTGTTTTAGCACCAACCATAAATGTCAGAAATGTGAGATAATTGAACAAACATGTAGACCAACTGAATTGAATTACAATCGCACGAGGATTTTTCAAATGTCATACATTGCCCCTTTACACTCTAGCTGCGAAACCTAGCTCGAAATCATAACTGCCGTAAGAAAGGTGACAGGCGGTCACCAAAATGTCGGCTTGTAAAATATTTTATTTGTGTAATGTTTAAAGAAAGTTGATTTTTTTTCAGTAAGTATCTCACATGTTAGCACCGTTGTTTAGAAACTATAAAGTAGACCCCTCTTTAAGACATGAATGTAAATTATCGTGTGCGAACTCCTCCCCCCTTCCAAAGAATCACAAGTGTTCTTATCAATTTTTGGAGTATGTAAATAACCCGATTTACAACCAACAATAAGGCAATACTTACATAGTTGTCACATATCACGTGCGCCGTGCACACATAACGTCATGTTGTACAAAGCACCTGTAAGCAAATGACCTTTGATATCCATGATGGAAAATTCCATTCACTATCAGGTGTTAAACAGTATAGGTTAATATAAACCAACTGAAATGGGATAGCAGTTGTGAAACAAGAGTTCGTAGATCTCATACCTCCGTAAAATATATAGCGTTTTATGTACGCATGTATGTCTAATGTCTTATATTGTAAAGCATCAATAATGGGAATCTTGTTTCAAGGCACCCAATGCAATTTCACGGTGGCAAAACCAAAATATTATTGATTATGAAATCTGTCAGACATTTACGTTGACTACCGTTTCTTTGCACATGTTCACCATCATCTTGTTTTCGAAATAGCCCAAACACAAGCTACAGGAGGAGGCCCTTTATTTTCGGTACCATATAATAGCTAGAACCCACCTACAAACAAAACAAGCAACCGCTTTTCGTCAGCGACATCATATTTTTGCGCCACAGAGATCTGTATACACCAGATAGGGTTGATATAACCATCTCTTTTTCTACCTCCATGATATAACTTTCTTCATTAAAGTAATGACCAGAAAATCCAGTTTTACTCTCTATGAAATCGCTTTGGGTGCCTTTAAACAAAAGCGTAAGATGTGGGTTGGTGGAAAAAACGGTCCAGTCCGGAGGGCAGTACTGAAATGTAACATTATAGATAGATAACTTTATTGCGCAACAATTGTACAGTGTACAAAGTATGGCATCTACTAACATAATCAAGTACATGTCAACTACATTTTCATAAGGCTAATCTAATACAAAAGCGGGTGGCAGTATGAGATAGGTATCAACTTATACAATCGTTGAAGGAGTTTCTAATATCCATACAGTCTTTAATATATATCCCTATGTATAGCATGTAGGGGTTGTCACAAGTCAATATATGCCCCCCTCCCCCTTGTAGCAGCAGGCAGCTTGCTGACCGTTGATTGGCCGGATGGACACCAGAGTCAGTACGACTGGCCCTGGCTCAAGGCACGGTGCTTCTCCACTCCGGCACTGGAGAAGCGAGCGGGGGACTGGCAGAGAAAGGTCAGTATTCACTGAAAGACTTGTCACCCCCATAGTGTAACGGTTGATACGTCGGTGAAGGTTAGACATCCAGGTAATACGATACGCCAAAAAGCAGTTACTCAAGCAACTGGAAATGATTTTGACGTTATGACGTTTTCAAAATCATATCCAGTTGCTTGAGTAACTGCTTTTTGGCGTAAAGGTTAAATCAAAGGTCTTAATTCAAAATTGTTATTCAGAATTTAGTAAAATTTAGTATTAGTATATTGGTGTAGCCTGGAATCCAGTCTTACAGCGGACTACAACTAACAAGACTGGATTCTAGGCTGAAAATTATTGGCTCTTACAATGTATTTTGAAACCTTAATAAAATAGGTCGTAAATTCATCCCTTTTTGCCGTTTTAAATAATGTTATAAACGCTGATCAGACAACATGAAGATTTTCGGATATATTTCTTCTTAAAATCGTGATAAAAGATTGATAACTGATTTTACATAGGTCAACCTTTCTTACAACAAGAAAAAAAAATACAAGTTGCAAAAGTGCAGGGTTTGAGAAGTTTATGAGGAAGTAGCACTGATTGTTTTATTGTTGTTTTCCCACAGACCAGGCTCTGGGGAGCGGAACTTGCAGATGATCTGCCCACAGCAGATTTCCCCGCCTTACTGACAGACGACCGCGCCCTGTACGACTTCCTGTTTCTCCTGGACTCTGTCGGCCTCGTTCTGGTGCAGAACGTCCCCTGTGACGTCGGGCAGCTGGACAGACTGGCCAATCGGGTGGCGTTTCTCAAACTTACAAACTACGGGTAAGTGTTCTCCGTTTGATTATTGATTCAGGGTATTGTTTTCGGTGGCATTCTTGGCGACGTCTCAGGGAGGAGCCTAATGGTACAGTATTGTGTGCAATTTGCAAGAATTCTAGGAATGGTACAGGCATTTTGTCCACAGGCATGCGGAATGTCCACAGGCATTTCTCTGACCCACATCTACGCCCACATTTCTGGAACCCTTGAGAAGACCTGTCTGCCCCAGATGGCCCTACTTTCTGTGACCCCGGGGCTCGTTCACTGTACACTCAGGGGAGGAGTACACTGTATCTCTCTAGATAGGTACCAAGTCTTCCTCAAAATCATGAAATGATGGCAGTGTCATGCAAACAATAACCCTAACAGCAACCACCGTCGCCATGGCAATGTATGTTTTCATTGCCAGTCTTGTTTTCCTTTGGATTGTCTATCATAATTGCTTCGGTTGCATAGTGGATGGGAGGTGATTTTGACAGATGATTGTATAGTTGATATCAAGGTCAAGCCTAAAATTATCCAGGGTGGTTGGGAGTAACGGGGTGGTATGTGGAGAAATTCAGGAAGTGATGTAATCACGTTATATAATTAATCCCCTTCATTCCTAAATGTGTATTTGGACAATAGAGATGGT